CCCCTCCCTTCCACCCTCTCCCTCGACCCCTTCCCTCCCTCCAAAGCCCTACCCCTTCCCCGCTTCGCTCCAAGGGAAGGGAGAAGATGAGACGGTGATGGTGAGATTATGGTGGTAAATTGTGAAAGGTGGCGCTGAGGTGTGATGGTGAAATACGAGCGGATTATGCTGAAGAAGTCTGGAGAGTCTGGAAGGAAGTTGGCGAAGTAGCGAAGGATACAGCGTCTAGTCAGATATTAATGTGGATTGCATGGGAGAGCAGGGCGATTCTCTTTGAGGTTACAACGAGGATGTTGTTGTAGGGCGAAAGGCACAATGAGGGAATTGTAATTGCGAGAAAAACAGGCGTATCATATTTGGTTTGGCAGGCTATTGGCAAAACTACGAATACGATAGCTATAACTGCATGTTCTGTATTACTACTGTTTATTCTAATGGTAATTAAGTTCTCATTATATAAGAATCAACAAACTAATCACACACACACACACATCTACATATACATACATGTGTGTGTATGTCTATATATATATATATATATATATATATATATATATATATATATATATACATATATATATATATATAAAAGAGGTATATATACACAAAATCATATCCAAACCTCCCAGCACACACATCTATTCTCTGATCTGCTGGTCTCAACCGATGCCCAGAGAGAGAGCATACAGCAAGGGCGCTCTTCGGTGACACCTCAATGTGTGAATTTGTCTTGGTTAACGTCCATATGAAGACCTTATGGGGAGCCGTGTCTCGACCTCGCCACTTCAGGGAGTTCGCGCAAATGGATTAGCCGTCAAAATTTCGCTCTATAAAAACGTATCTCCTGTCGTTAGCCAGTCTGAAACTTTACATATATATATATATATATATATATATTATATATATATATATATATATATATGTATATATATATGTATATATATATATATATATATATATATACACATACATACATACATGCATACACACACACACATAAATCTCTCTCTCTCACTCTCTCATATATACACACACACACACACACACACACACACACACACATATATATATATATATATAGTGTGTGATTATTAGTGTGTCAGGATGTAAGTGTACGGACCCTAAATACTAAGTCAAAGAGAAGTAGCCAGAGAACGGAAGTGGCAGAGAGCACACTGAGGCTTCTTCAGACATCAGAGGCTCCCCAGGGGAACCTCGTAACAACAAGGTGCTCACAGACGCCCTAGAGCTCCAGCCCTTCACCGTGCCCTTCCCTCGCCCCGGGTGCAGAAGAGGCCGATATGGTGGTAACTTGTGATAAAGCGTCGACGGGCTTCAGTAACCATCACAACAGAACGTCACAAGTCAGACAGGAGAGACTAAAAGAGCAACAATTGACGAATAAATGGAACAGGACAAAGGTCTGGCCTCGCGGAGGTATTTAGGCTGAACGGCGCTCGTGTGACGAACGGCGGGGGTTGCTGGGAACGGTCGGAGGTGGAATCGTAGTGAAAGCATCTGCTTCTGAGGGACACATTGTATCTGCCTCGACTGGGAAAGCTAACTACATCCCCGGTGAGGATAACACGCCTAATGACTTGTAGGAACAGCACCGACCCCCCCCCCCGCACACACACACACTTACAAACAGATTCACACAAAAATAACACATCCGCTTATAAGGTCGTCCGTATCAACATATATATATATATATATATATATATATATATATATATATATATATATATATATATATATATATATGTGTGTGTGTGTGTGTGTATTCGAACCTGTTAATAGGTCACGCTTGCTTTTAAGATCGCTAACCAATCATGATTCAGCTTCCCCGACTGACATTACTTCGTGCAATTTGCATCATATACCTTTAACACTGAATGCTAGAGTACTGGTCCTTCAGCAGAGCTAATGTAGCACAATGCTGCCTCAAAGCCGTACCCATGCAACATTCAGTGGGACAAGGGTGACGCAGTTCGCCCTGAATGCTGCCAGAGACATTGAACAGTAAAACCACGAGAGGCCCGTAGTTCTCGAGATAATCCATGATGCAGCATCACTAATGGGGATAATCCCACCTTCATGCTATAATTAACGCTCCAGATTTACATACGACTTTGAGAAACAAAGAGGCGTTTTTACGACATCGCGCCCAACCAGTATTTGTGGAGTTCAACTTTCTGATGTCGCCTACACAACGCCGGAGACGCTAATCTGCGAAATTCTGCGCTCCGGAGGACACGCCGGTGACTGAGCTTGCCGGGGAGAACCTTACCTCTTCAGGGCGGATCTCACGCCACGTGTCTGCAAGCACGGCGTCGCTCATTAGTCCGACGAGGGGAAAATAAGCAAGGGAAGAGAGGGAGTACTTAAGCCGAGGGTAATGGCGCAGAATTACCCCAACGCGCGCGTCCTTCCCGGGACCACACACGGCGAGTGACACGACGGGCTGCAAGGGGCCCTCGTTACTGATCATTGGCACACC